GCCTCTTGGAAGGCCCTTGGGGCGTCTTGGAGGCCTCTTGGGCTGTCTTGGTGCCCTGTTGGGCGTCTTCGGGCGATCTTTGGCCGTCTCGGGGCCCTCTTGGACCGTCTTGGAGGCTTCTTGGGGACCTCTTGGCCCGTCCTGGGCCCCTGTAAAAGGTCTCCGGCATCTCTGGCCCGACCTTGCCGGGACCTTGCCGGGGTACTTTTCGTCCGGGGACCCCAAGGGGCCGCCCCGCGCGCGCGAACTAGAAATACTGTTAACCAGGTGCCCGAGATCTTAGCACGCCCTGGCCCGTTGGGCCGGCGAATTGGTTCGTTTCTCTTTGTTTTCTGGGGCGATGCCTGGCGCCGCGTAAAAGGCGGTGGTGGATCGTGAATCTCAAGGACCCTCGCAGGGTGGATGGCGACGATTTCCTCCGACCATACCAGACGGCGTTCCCTTCGGAGTTTGCGCCGACGTCGGGCGCCGAGGCGTGGGAGTCGTACGACAGGATCGCGCGGGCAGCCCCTGTCGTCACAAAGGGGCGGTTTGATCTGTTGGAGAAGGCGCACGGGGTGAACCGCGAGCCGGGCGGGCTCTGCTACGACGCGCCCCTCAGGGCAATCTTCTTCCCTGTGTCGCATGCGCTATACGACTGGATGCGCTGCCTGGTCGGGAGCGGCGGCCCCGCGCAGTATGGAGCCATTTGTTTCATCAAGGCCATCCTAGAGGAGTGCGACGGATTATTTGGACTGGGTGATCTGGACTCATTGGCGAATGACCTGGCGCATGACAGCCGCAGCAGGTACGGGCATATCGGGAAGAAGTTTTCCCCGACAGGTACGTCGAGAGGATGCGAGGCAAGCCGTTGCCTCATAGCAGAGCTTTCGCTGGTGAGATGCTAACCGTAGTGGTAGTCATCCGACATGCACTGGCCGACCGCCTGCCGCCGCCCCTCGTGGGCACTCGGGCCAGAATTCGCGGGTGCTTTGGGGTTCCGAAGAGTACATGTACTGTCGCACAAGCCAACATCCAGACTGTGCGTACAGTCTGGATGTTGGCTTGTGCGACGCCCCCCGGGCGCGCGGCTGAGTTCTGCATCTTGAAACTTGACCCGCGGGGTCTTTGGCCAGACCGCAGCGCGTGCTGGAAATTGTTGGCGCAGGTGTGCAACATTCTCCAACTGGGGGGGCGCCGCCGCCCCCCTTGCAGGCCGCCTGTCGCATCTGATCGAGGCTCGCCACCGCGGCCTGCTTGCCGGCAAGGATCGGTCACAATTTGCCGTGCTTCTTTAGTGAGAGGCGCAATCGCCCCCTTTAAAGCGTGGCGCCCCATTGTAGTGCAGGCAGCGGGTCGGCATCTGAATAAGGGTCCATGAAGGGCATCATGTGTCGCCTTCTCTTGGATCTGGAAGGTAGGGTGCAAACGGCTGCGTTCAGCTCGTGTTCCTTGGTTGAGCCATCTGTGGACGCGCCAGGACCCCTCCAGCTTTTTTGGTGATATGCCTTGCAAGGCTAATATTGCTAAGAGAATGTGCTCGCCGATCGGTCCCGCCTGCGTGAGCGATTTCGCGCTGATCAGGTGCGGGCGGATCGAGAGTTTAGTTCGCGTCGACGGCGTCGTGGGCGCGAGGTGCTCCAGCCAGCCGTGCGCGCCCAACTGTTTCATCGTGGCGACAGAGTTTCACATGCACCCTGGTGACAATTCGTCGTGGCACGCTGGCGGCATGGACGTCGTCCGTGCGGGGTGCGAGGCCGACGTCGTTCCAACGTTTCAGCATGGCCAGTTGGTGCGCCCCATTTTCACGGAGCGCTGGGCGTCGATAGGCGGCTTCGCCCCCCGCGCCGACAACAGTCAAAATCGATGCCACCCCCCTATCCCCCCCCCCCGTCGCCGCCCGCAATCCTCGCCTCCCCCCCCCCTCCGCCCTCCCTTCCTCATTGTCATCTTCCTCGCCTTTCCCGCTCATTGTGCCCCCCCCTTCCTCGCCCTCCCTCCGCGGTGCCCCCCGCCCTTCCCCCCTCCCCCGTTTCTTCCTCGTCCTCCTCCCCGTCGCGAGAGGCGTCGCCCCGCGACTCCTCCCCCCTCTCAATGAATCCACCGCGCATCATGCATGCAGTTCTCAATATTCCACGCCCTCCTCATCGCCGCCCCTCCGCATTTTTTTATGCGAGAGCTGTTTTCAGCCAGGCCGCGCGCGACGGCCCCGCCGCGGGCCCCGATGAAGCGCGCCGCAGACTTCGGGCCAGACACAGAAGGCCCCATAGCACGCGTGTGCGAACGGTGGCCCGAAGGGACCATCGCGGCGGCAGGCAGAGCGGCCACCTGGGAGACGCACCGCGTTTCCGTCGATCGGGGGGAGAGGGGGGCTGGGCGCGGCCGAGAGGCGCCGCTGCTAGAGAGGGCCGACAATTTAAAGGCTGCGCACGCAGAAATGCAAGCCGGGATCGCAGCCCACGGGACGAAAGGAGGCCGAAAAGAAAAAGAGCAGCAGGAATTCCACAAGCACCAGGAGAAAACCATGAAAGAGGCCGTGCCCCGCGCCACCCAGCAGCAGCAGCGGCAGCAGCAGCGGCAGCAGCAGCAGCGCGGACCAGCGCAGTGGACGTTCGTGCCGACGTGCGAGATGCCGCGCTGGGACACGTGGGACTACGACCTCTGGCTCGAGTCCTACTGGAAGAACGGACTGCGGCCGCCCTTCTTTTCCAGCTGGAGGAGTGGGGGGGCGCATGGATGGCGCGCAGGAGGAGGATGGGGAGGAGGAGGATGGGTGATGATGATGATGACGATGGTGACGCTTATGATATTGATGGTGATGGTGCCGATGAAGAGGAGGAGTAGGGGGATAGGGGCGACGATGGGGAAGAGGAGGGGCTCTGGGCGCCGTCGGGGGCGCTCTGCCCCTCCCCGTGGGCGTCCTCGTGCCCTCCCCCCCTCCCCCTCCTCCTAGCGTATCACCCACCTCCTCCTCCATCCTCCTCTGCTCATCGTCTTTCCCCCCCCCCCCCCCCCTCCTCCTCCGCGTCTTCGATGTCTCGCGCGCTGAGCCCACGAAGGGTACCGACCCCCGCCCGCCCCCTTCCACCCCCTCGATGTCTTCGACGCCCTCGGGCCGCGCGACTGCCGCGCGCCACCCCCGGGGCGGCGGGGCGCCGGCGCTTGGCGAGGTGGACCTGCGAACGCAGGCGGTTGAAGCAACGGCGTGCGAGGCCGCCCGTGCCATCGCGTGCCGCCGCCCGTTCCCCTCTCTCCCGTCCCTCGCCCCTCGCCCCCTCCTTTCCCGCCCCACCCCGCCGCCCCCCCCCCCTTCCCCCCCTCCGCCCCCTCCGCCCCCTTCAGCTCCACAGTTGCTCAATATGAAAATATTCTCCCTCTTCCCCTGATGGCGTCCGGGCGGTGGCCGCGCATTCTCCGCGTACTGTTTTTTTTTTTTGCACGCAGGATGCCCGGGAAATCCCGGGAAGCGACTCTCGCTGAGGCGCCGGCGTCATTTTCGGGCCGAACGCCCCCCGCGTATTGTTTTTTTTAGACGCAGGATTCCCGGGAAACGGGTTTTCGCATGCGTTTTTTTTTGTTCCTTTCCTTTCAGGCGCCGGCCTCATTTCTGCTCCCGAATCGTTCCGAATCGTGCTCCCGCTGCAGCGTGGGCTTCATTTTCGGATCGGCGTTTGGCCTCCGTGGTTCAGGATGGCGTTCTCGCCCCAGCGCGGGCCTGCTTCTCGCGCGCCCATCCGCCCGCCACCACCGCGCCGCGCCACCACCACCGCCACCGCCACCACCGCCACCACCACCACCACAATCACAACCGCCACCAGCACCAGCACCACCACCAGCACGAGCATCAGCACCAGCACCAGCACCACCACCACCACCACCACCACCACCACAACCACGCACACACGCACGCACGCACGCACGCACGTGCACCACCACCCACTACGCACGCGCGCGCGGAGCCACAGGTCCGCTTCGACACAGCGTCCGCGGGAATAGAGAAAATCAGCGCCATGGTCAGGGAATGGAGGGAGGGGTAGGACGTCAGATATGACGTGAAGCGCAACATAGCTTGCCTTCCCCCCCGCCCCCCCCTCCCGCCCCCGCCTAACCCCGCCCCCCCCCCCCCCCGCGCGCCCCCTCCTCCCATCCCTTCCTTCCATTCGCCCCTTTCACCACCCCCTTCCCCCCCCTCGCCCTTCCCAGCGCCGCCGCCACGCAGAAAGTCGCTGGCAATGTCCGACATCGGGCCGCCAGGAGCTGCCTGCCGTCGTCGTCTCATCATCGTTGCCGTCGTCGCCGTCTCTGATTTTCTCCTTGCCCCCGTTGCCCCCCCCCCCCCCTCCACCCCCTCGCGCAGCCGCCCCCCGCGGCCCCGTCGAACTGCCATGCGGGCGCCAGGAGAATCGACGCTGACGAGGCGCGAACTAAGCAAGGGGTTTCCCCAGGGCAGGCGGCCCCCGCCGCTTCCGCCCCCGCCGCGCGCCCGCGCCCCCCCCCCCCCCCCCTACCCCCCTTACCATCGCACCCCCCCTCCTCCCCCTCCCGCCCCCCCCCCCCCCCCTCCCCCCTTCCGCCCCCGCCCCCCCACCCGCCCTCACTCTTCGTCTCCCCCCATCGTTCCCACCCGTCCCCGTTCCCAAAAAAAAACTCGCGCTCCTCCCCAAAAAAAACACCCCGCCCAATCCCACCCCCCTCCTTGCAGAGTAAATCGTTCATCATGTGCCCCCCCGCCCGCCTCCATCCGCAACCGCCCGCCGCCCCCCCCCCCCCCCCCCCCCCTCTTCCCGCCCCCCCTTCCCTTCCCCACCATCGCGTCGAGAGAGCTTTCGCCCCGCGACGCCTCACGCCCCCCCCCCGCTCCTTTTGCGCGCCCCTCGCCCCTTCGCGCCCCCCCGCCCCCTCGCCCTCCGCGCCCTCCGCATTCCCGCTTCGTCGACCCCCTGGTCCGCCCACTCCTCCGCCGCCGTTGCGGCTCAAACGGGGCTGGAGAGGCCCCGCCCCAGCTTCGCCGCCCCTTCGAGGCCGCGGCCGCGGGGGAGCGATGCCCGCGTGCGCTGCAAGCCGCGCAATGGAAGCTTCCGACACTAGCCCTGCGGCTTCGCCCCCAGCAGCGGGCGCAGCCCCAGCGGCGGCTGCAGCCCCAGCAGCGGCAGCGGCGGCAGCCCCGGCAGCGGCTGCTCAGGGCCGCCCCGCCGAGTCAGAGGGGCAGCTGTCCGACGAACGCGCAGTTTGCAGGGCTAGCGACCTGGCGATCACGGGCGCGAAGTGCGTGATAGCGAAGCCTGCGACCAGCAACCGCGACGCCGTGTACGAGTGCACCAACTGCAACCGCCCGAAGAAACGGATCCACAACGTCCGCCAGGGCAACGACACGCTAGACGCGCGGTCCGAACTGGACAGCCAGGAGCGCAAGGAGTTCACGCGCAACAGCGCGAACACCTTCGGAACGGATCTGGCCAAGGAGATTAGGGAGGTCATCAAGGTGTCGAATGCCAAGTCCATCGAGACGACGGCCGCGGAGGACGGCGAGCCGATGCTGGTCTCAGAGGCAGCAGAGCTCCCGCGCTATATGAACAATCCGCATGCCTTCGAGCTGCTGTGCAAGAACGCAGATCGGTTCATCAGTCGGATCGACGGCCTCGAGTACACCGTCGCTCCGAAGATGTCGTTCCAGAAGGTGAACAGGAACATCGACGAGATGCAGAGTTCCCGCGCGGTGGGCCTGGACCCCCAGATCAAGAAGGCGCCGCGCAAGCCCCAGAGGCCAGGGCCAAGGCGCCCTTCGCCCCGAAGTTCAAGCCGCTACCATCGCCAAGAAGCTCGATGAGAGCATGGCGCGCCTCAGCGAGGCGGTGCTCGCAGTGCGGCGCATCGAGCGCGCAGCTGGGGACGCTGCCGCCGCAGACTGCGCGCCCAAGCACCTGATCGCCGAGGCCGCCCACCTGGGCACCGCCGCGCGCGAGCTCCTCGACGAGGCCGCGAAGCACTTCAGCGCCGACGATAAGGACAAGGCCGTGGAGATGACGCAGAGCATGAACGCCTTCTTGGCCGATCACGCAGAGCTGACCCACACGCTTGAAGGTCCGGCGAGGATGGGGCGCGCGGGGGGGGGGGGGGGGCGGCGGGGCCCAGACAAAATCACCCCCAGCGGGAGTTCGAAATCAGCTCACCCTTTCCCCAGCAGGAGGGGGGGGGGGGGGGGGGGGGGGGGGGGGGGGGGGGGTGGCGGAGCGGGGCCCGCCGAGGTGTCTTCAGCCAGATGCCCGACGATCTGCGCGCGGAGCTCTCGGGCGCCGACAGTGGGCCGTTTGGTGCAGCGAGAGGTCTGCCGAGGCCTGCCTCATCTCCTCTCTCCTCCTCCTCCCTCCTCCTCCTCCTCCTCCCTCCCCCTCCTTCCTCCTCCCCCTCCTCTCCTCCCCCCCCCCCCCCTCCTCCCCCTCCTCCTCCTCCTCCTCTCGACCTCGACCTCCGCCTTCTCCGCCCCTGCACCCCCATCCATTTGGCCTCCTTCCCGCCCCCCTCCCCCATCCTTTCGCCTCCCCCCTCCTCGCCCCCCCCCCCCCCCCCGCCCAGGGCGGCGCAGCGAGCAGCGCGGGCGCGCCGCAGCGCGCCGGGCGCATGCAGCGCCCAGCGGCGGCGGAGCCCGCATCCTCCGCGGACAAGCGCACGCGGGCCTCTACCAAGACGGCCGCGTGAGGTTTTCCACCAAGATGGCGGCGTGAGCGACCTCCAATGATTGTCTCCTGCGCCACCCCTGAGAGCTGCCGCGCAGTCGAGGGTTGCCGCGGGGGACCGCGGACGAGAGCTGTCGCGGGCATCCCGCGCTACTCACCCGCCCCCCCCACCCCTCTCCGCCCCTTTCCTCCGTCCTCGTCGCGAGAGGCTTCGCCCCGCGACTCCTCCACCCCCTCCCCCGCTCCTCCTCCATCGCCCCGAGAAGTCTCAGCCCGCTGATCACCAAGGTATCTCCAGGGTATCCCTGGGCACCCCCTCGTCGTTTCCTGCCAGGTATCCCCTGGGTATCCCCAGGATGTCCCCAGTGTATCGTTGCCGAGGGTATCCCCAGGTACCCCCAGTGACTGTCGTTGGGGATACCCAGGTATGTCCTGGCATCCCCAGGGCATCCCTGGGGCATCCCCGCATCGTTTTCTTACGGGTATCCCCAGAGTATCCCCGGAGTATCCCTGGGCATCACCGCGTCTCCCCCCCCCCCATCCTACCACCTTGTCGTCTGACGCAAGCAAGCCTCAGTCCCGATGCGTGAGGCTGAACAACTAATTGACGCAGGCAAGCCTCAGCCCCTCCTCATCCTCCTCGTCCTCGTCCTCCTCCTCCTCCTCCTCCTCCTCCCCCTCCTCTCCCCCCCCCCCCCTTCTCCTCCTGCTCCCCCCGTCGCCCTCCCCAGATTTCTGGGGATGTCTCGCAAAATTCGCGATCGAGATCAATTAATCTCGGTCATAAATCGCCCAGGACTTTCGCGCGCCCACGCTCGCGGTCGCAGCCCTGCGCTGCGGCCGTCTCGCTTCCGCGGGCGTCGGCGTCGGCGAGCCCTCCGCCCCTGCCGCCCGCCGGCCCGCCGCTGGCCCTGCCCCCGCCCGCGGGTGCGTCTGGGTTTTGAGGTTAGGATCGACGTTCCCCTCTTGCGCTGGGCTCCTCCTCCTCCTCCCCCTCCTCCTCCTCCTTCCTCCTCCCCCCCCTCCCTCCTCTTGCCTTCCCCTTCCACCCCGTCCCCCCTCTTCCCCTGCTCCTGCTCCTGCCCCTCCCCTTCCTCCTCCTCCTCCCTCCTCCGCCTCCTCTTCCTTCCCATTCCCCTCCGCATCCTCCTCGTCCCCCTCCTCCTCCTACTCCTCCTCCTGCCCCGCCTCCTCCTCGCCCCCCTCCTCCTCCTCCCCCTCCTCATCTCCCCCCTCCCCTCGTCGCCATCGCGGTCTCAATCGTCGTCGGAATCGCCGCCGCCATCGTCGACGTCGTCTGTCGTCCGTGGAGTCGTCGTCTGGCGTCGTCGTCCACCGTCGACGTCGTCGTCGTCGGGCGTCGGTCGGTCGCCGTCGCCCGTCGTCGTCCGTCGCCGTCGTCGTCGTCGACGTCGTCGTCGTTGTCGTCGTCCGCCACCCGTCGACCGTCGTCGTCCGCCACCCGTCGTCAGTCGTCCGTCCTCGGGCGTCGTCGCCAGTCCCTCGTCGGGCGTCGGGCGTCGGCGCCATCGTCGGCCACAGGGCTCAGGAGGGCCACCCTCCCCCCCCAGGAAGCCGACAGCGTCAGTCGTTGCAGCGGTCGTCGTCGTAGTCATCGCCGCCGCCGTTGTCGTCGTCGTTGTCGTTGTCGCCGCCGTCGCCGTCGTAGCCGCTGCCGCCGTCGTCGTCGTCGTCGTCGTCGTCTTCGCCCTCGTTGCCGTGTGCCTCCACCGCGTCCCTGCCATCCTCTCCTCTACCCCCTTCTCATATCCCCCATCCGCTTCGCGCTCCTCTCCACCTTCCCGCGCCAGGCCGTGAGTTGCTGCGCGTCGGCGAGCTGCTGAGGCTGACGGGCGCGGCCGCCCGCCCGCGGGGGCGCGCCCCGCCTCCCGCGTTGGGCGTCGTCGACGACCTCGTCGTCGCCGTCGCTGTCGCCGACCCCTCCCTCGTGCCCCCTTCTCGTCCGCCCCCCGATTCGGCGACCCTTCCCCCTCGCCCGTCCACCGCTACCCCGCGCCCGCCCCCGTGCTACCCCATCGCCCGCCAATTGCCCGTTTGCGCGCGAGCCGCCGCGGGTCGGCAGCTCGGTGGAAGGATTCGCGCCAGCGTCGCCGCGAGAAATGCCGGGTGCACTGGCCGCGCCCAGGGGCGCCGCGACGGTGTTCGGGGAAGAGGGTGGGGCGCAGGATGAATGATCATAGGAGAGGGGTGGGACAGGAGGAGTAGGATTAGGAGGGGGAGATTGGAGGGAGGGCGATGCCGTGGGCGACGAGGACACTGAGGCATAGGGCGATGGATCGGAGGATATAATGGGGGACGAGAGAGGGAATGGTGGAAAAAGGGGCGCGCGACCCCGCAACCTCCCACACCTCCCCTCCCGCCCCCCCCCCCCCCCCCCCCGTGGGCTCCCAAGGTTGAATTTTCAGGCCGCGGGCATCCTGGATTTCCAGGCACGCAGTCCACGCGCGCGTGTGGGCTCTAAAACTCCCGACGATAGGCCCCCTTCGACCCGCCCCCCCTTCGGCGCCCAGAACTATCAACTTTGGGCCCCTCAACCCCGCGCGCCCCCCACCAAAGACTGTTTGCGCGAGAGGCGTCGCCCCGCGTCAAACAGTCTCAGCAACAGTAGCCCGACCGTAGCTGCCAACACGTCAGCAGCAACAACAAACTAGCAGTAAAAACCCGAGGGGGGTCGTCGTCGTCGTCGTCGTCGCCCTCCGCCTCAGCAGGCGTGCGCGAAACAAGCGTGCGAATCCTCATCCCGAATCGGCGAACGTGCCCTCCTCACCGCCCGCCACCCCCTTCCTCCCATCCCCCCTTCATCCGGCGTCTTCCCCCCGCCTTCCTCCGCCCCTCTCCTCCGCGTCCTCCCCCGCCCCCCGTCCTCCGCATCGCCTCCCCCTGCCGCCCTTGCGAGCGGCGCATGGCGTTCCCGCTCTTGTCGTCCGCGGCGCTCGGGCTCGCCGAGCGCAGCCGGGCTTTTTGTTGGTGTGTTGCGCGCCATCAGTTGGCGCGCTGCGCCCATGTGGCCGCCCCGCAGGACAGCGGGATGGCGGTCGACCAAGTCGCGCAGGTGCTCGGCCACATGCGCCAGACCTTGGCTGCAGAGGGAGAAATTGACACGAGGGCGGCTGGTGACCGCGTCAAGGCAGCGATCGCCGCAGCGCCGTTCGTCACGCTTGGACAGGCTGGCGAGATCATCCAAGCCCTGAACAACTCGCAGTTCCCCAAGCCCGAGGTCGCCCAGCTCTCTAAGCTGGTGAACAGCAAGGTGCGCGCAGCGGTGGTGGATGGCACCCACGGGGCGCGCGCTGTCTTCGGCGCCCCCGATGGCAAGAGGCAGAGGGCAATCGGCCAGGACTGCGAGTGGGTGTTCAGGTACTTCACGGATGATCTGTGGGCCAAGTTCATGAGCATGTCTGCCGCGCGGGAGCAGTGTTGGCAGTGCTTGCAACAGCGATTCGACGACCTTGGGCTGATGCACCCGTCCGAACCAACTTTGAGAGCAGTCCGGGTTGCGTTCCTGGTGAGCCGCCGCCCGCCAGACCAATCGATCTCGGCGAACCCAGATGAGTGCGTGGCCCGCATCAGAATAATTAGCGCCGACATGGAGACGCACCGCAGGCGGCGGGCCTTGCCGCGCCACGACGCGGCGCAAAAGTACTGCGCAGATCCGCTCGAGATGGAGCGCACCTATCGGGCCGTCTGGGAAGTCGCCTACCCGAATGGCTCGCGGCCAGTGGCCACCAAGGTCAGCGAGGCCCACCTCTTGCAGCTCTGCGCGCGGCTGCCCTGCAGGAACTCCCACAGCAGCGCGGGGCCGACGCGTCTGGCGCAGCCGGCGCCGCGGGGCCGCAGCTACGCGCTCGGGGCTCGCACTGCCGACTACATTGCCATGGCGATGAGCAGCCGACCTGGCGACCCGTATGTCCCTGGCCTGTGCGCATCTACGGGGGCCCCCGCACGCCCGACGTTGGAGGCGGCCGCTACCGCCCCGACGACGCGCCCACGCCCGCCCAGGAGCAGCAGGTGCACCCAGGACCTCGCGCGCAGGAGGGCATGAGGAAGAGGAGAGGGGGGCTTCTACTCGTCGTCCTGGCCCCCGCCTCCCTCCTCGTCATCCTCACCCCCCCGCCATTCTACTCGCCCTCACCCTCCTCCAACTCGACTCCGCCCCCCCCCCCCCCTCCCATCCTCCCCCTCCAACCTCCTTCTCCCCCCCCCACCTCCCGACCCCTCCACCCCTCCTCCCTCACCCCCCTATTCCTTCCCAGTCGTCGTCGTGGTCGTCGTCGTCAGCGCCGTCTTTGTCATCGTCGTTGTCGGCGCCGCCGCTGCCGTCGTCGTCGCCGCCGCCGCGTCCGCGCCGTCGCCGTCGTCTTCGCCGCCGCCGCCGTCTCCGCCGCCGCAACCGTATTCGTCGTCGTCGTCGTCTTCGTCGCCGTCGCCGTCGTCGCCGCCGTTGTCGACGTCGCCGCCGCCGTGTCGGGCGTCGCCGTCGTCGTCGTCGTCACCGCCGCCGTCGTCGCTGTCGTCGTTGTCACCGCCGCTGTCGTCGTGGTTGTCGCCGCCGTTGTCGTTGTCGTCGCCGCGGCCGTCGTCGTCATCGCCGCTGCCGTCGTCGTCGTCCCCGCCCCGCCCCTGTTGTCGTCGTGGTCGTCGTCGTCGTTGTCGCCGCCGTCGTCGCCATCGTCGCTGCCATCGTCGTCGTCGTCGTCGCCCCCGTCGCCCCCGTCGCCGTCGCCGTCGTCGCCGTCTCCGCGGATTCCGTCGTCGTCGCTGCTGTCGTCGTCGCCGCCGCCTCATCCTCTCAGTCCTCCTCGCGGCCAGTCCCTCGCCCTCAAACGCATCTTTGTCATCGCCATCGCCGTTGCACCATCGTCCATCGCCGCATCAGCATCATCCTCATCATCTATTCACTTCATCGTTCTCGTCGCCAAACCTACTTCTCTCGCGAATCGCCCACCTCGCCCACTCATTTGCCCCTTTCCATCTCATCCGCCTCTTCCTCCTCCCCCTCGCCCCCCCTCCTTTTCCCCCTCGTTAGC